AAGTCATTTTTTCTTTAGAGGCACAAATAAGTAGTGCAAAGCCCAAGACCTACATTGCAACCATTTGGGGACTATGTGAATCAGAAAAAAAAAAATGGGTCCTTCGGGAAATTGTTCAGCTGACACTAGACTTTTTTTTTTTTTTCCCCCCACTGTGGGCCTCCCACTCCATGCTGGTGCTGGTCTCTCCATTGCAGGTGCACCTGTCTGGGAGTAGCTACCAAAACATGCAGGTTTTTTTTTTTTTTTTAGTTGTAGATAGTCAACATGCCTTTATTTTATTTATTTTTATGTAGTGCTGAGGATTGAACCCAGTGCCTCACACAAGTGAGGCAAGCACTCTGCTACTGAGCTATAGCCCCAGCCCTCATATTCTTAATATGTGCTCATAAGTCTGACTGGAGGCCCATAGTCATCTTTTTGTTTGCAAGCAGCTTTGGCGAACTTTGATGTTATAGTTATTCTAGCTTCCTAGCACGAGTTATGAAATTTTGCATTACTCCGGAGTTGTTGGTTTCTTGAGTTTGTTAGAGCTGACTCCTTAAAAATCACCTATGTGAGTATCACTTTGGAAGGAAACATTTGCCCTTTTTTTTTTTTTTCCAGTTTTTCTATAGATACAGATCTTTTCAGATTTTCTTATTCTCCTTAAGTCAATTTAATTGTTTAAGAATCTTCTATATCATCTAGATTTTTTAAAAATTCATACATCAATTCTTTTTTTTCCTCTTATATTTATTTTATATTTCTTGACTGATAAACTAGAGATTACTCAGTGTTAGTAGTTTTTCTAAGAATCAAACTTTTTATTTTGTTGACGAAATCTACTGTTAGGGTCTGCTATTAGGGTTTTCTATTATATTAACTTTTGTTTTCATTCCTTCCTTTTACTTTTTTAAATTTCCCTCCCCTTCCTTTTTTTTCCTCCTCCTTTTTTTTTTTTTTTGGAGAGGATCTCACTAAGCAGCTGAGGCTAGCCTCAAAATTGTTATCCTTCTGTCTCAGCCTTCTGAGTCACTGGGATTACAGGTGTGCTTCTTTACCCCTGGCTTATTTTCATTCTTGCTTACAAATTGCTTGTAAGTTTTTTTTATTGTTGGAAAAAGAATATAACACTGACTTTACCAGCTTAACCATTATTAAGTATGCAGTTCAGTAGCATTAAGTACACTCATAACATTGTGAAACAGGTCTCCAGAAGCTTTTCAGAAACTTTGGCTAATTACCAACTCCCTTTTTCTTTTCCTCCAGCCCTTGATATCCATTTTATAACTTTGTTTCTATGGATTTGACTACTTTTAGACACATCATATGTATAGCATCATAAAATGTATGTTTGTCTTTTAATGACTGGCTTGTTTCACTTAATATAATGTCTTTAAGACTTATCCATACTATAGCATGTGACAGAATACCTTCCTTTCTTAATATTGAATAATATTCCAGCCAGGTTTGGTTGTGGATGCCTGTAATCCTAGCTACTCAGGAGGCTGAGGAAGGAAGGTTACAAGTTCAAGGCCAGCCTTAGTAATTTAGTGAGACCCTGCCTCCAAATAATGATAATAATAATTGTCATCGTCCATTGTATATGTGTACCCCATTTCATTTATCCATTTCTCCTTTGTTGGTTCCTTGGGTTACTCTTACATCTTGGCTATTGTGAATAATGTTGCTGTGAACTTAAGTGTGCAAATATTATTTCAAGACTCAGAAAATGAATTTTTCCTTCATTGTTACAATTATCATTATCAAAATTTGTTCTTAATACTTCTCAGGTATTTTGAATGACTTTGTGATCATTTTTTCCTAGTACCTTTCTTCAGACATCTTGATTTTTCTGCAATCTATGTGCTTCTTACAGCGATATGTACATTTCATGTAGTTATTCTTTTGCTGTCCTCCACTCTCCTAAAGTCCTTCTCATATAAGTGATAAATGACTGGGATTCAAGATAAGTTGTGGTAGTTGGGAAAAAAATGACACTTGCAGTGGCATTAGTGCTGTTACAGATGAGGAGCTATTTAACCTGGTTTTCAGTGACCTGAAATGGTTTTCTACAATGAAGTCTTGATAACGTACATTCTTGTAGGTGGACTTCAAACTGTAAGAAAAATAGTTCAAAAGTTTTATTTCTTTGAAATAAGATGATATCTGCATTGAATGGTGCTTTTACTTTAAATCATCCTTGTTTTGACAAATGAGAAGTTGCCCTATTTTATAAGCAGCTCCCTATTGCATGCTGTGCTTCACTAGAGGGGCTTACACTGTAAGAGATATGTGATAAGTGATCACCTCTGTTCTGGACAGTGTGTCTTTTACCTGTTGACTTCATCTGTTTGTACATCATGGAAGGTAACAGGTGGGTGGTAATGGTATAGGAACTGAAGTAGTAAGCTTTTAGGATGAACCTTTAAAACTAAGAAGAACTGTTCATTCGGATGAGTTCCTCACTAAACTCTTATATGTGGAAGAAATGTACTGTTGTCTTATCAGGTTGTGATTTATACTCAACTTCTCAAAAACTCATCTGTTAATTTTTTTACTCCATGACATAGTACCTACCACCTGGCTGATTCAGGATTACTAGCAGTGGTGGTCTCTGTGGGAAGGCCTGTCCTCTTTTCTGGACAGAGTTGTAAAAGTGACTTAGTGTGATTTTGACAACTATTGTGATTAAAAACTCAATTCATTCATCCAGCATTTAGGCATTTTTCCCCTGTTTTTATTTAATAAACAATATACCAAATTACAAGATGATTTTGTAATCATACCTAAGAATTGTATTCTGAAGGGTTTTTCCCTCCAAGAAGCAAGCAGTATGTGTTCCAGGATTTTTAAAAGTGGTAAGACTTATTGTTGAAGAGTGTGAAGTCCCAGAATCACTGAGGGACAAGAGACAACCTAAGGGAGAAAGGTCTCAATTGAGGAGAGATGACTTCCCAAAAGAGCATTTTGGGGAAAAGGCTGTGAAGGCATGGGCTGATTGTTTGTGGTATATGCTTGGGTTTGTTTTCTAAACCCCTTGGTGCCAGTGTGTCTGGAGACTTCTAAATTATCTAATCACAAGTTTCAAGAAGATGGTTGTAACACCAAAGCAAGTATGTGATATGTTGTCATTTGCTGCAGTTTTTATTTAATAATGTATTTTAGACTTTGTGTTGATCTTTTAAGTAGAAGCTTCAAGTCAGTTCCCTGTAATTCTTGTAGCATTTATCTAGAATATAATTTATTCCTTTTCTTTCATAGGCATTTGATCTAACAGAGCAAAGATACGTAGCTGTGAAAATTCACCAGTTAAATAAAAACTGGAGAGATGAAAAAAAGGAGAATTACCACAAGTAAGTGATCTTAAGTTTCTGATTTTTCAAAATTTAGTAGTAATGGCTAGAGTTTGAGCACTGTGCTAAGAGGTTTAGATGAATTGATGTTGGTTTTGTTTCATTTAATCCTCCTAACTACCCTAGGAGAGCAAATATACTCTGATCTTACTGATGAGAAAACTGATATTTACTGAATTTGAGTAGCATTTAAGAAGTGGCTGAGCTGGTATTTAAATACAGATTTCCCTTAATCCAAAACCTCTACTCATAACTCCCCTTCCATTGTGATTAAAAATAGCCCCAATAAACAAAGCCTTGGAAACCATTGTGGCTTGTCTGAAGAAACATAGTGAGAGTGTTCTTTAGTGGTCTAGGGACCCTGGGGAGCTCTGAGTGGGGCTCTTTGCTATTCCAGTTATTACTTTCTGGAGAGGGGGTGCTTTTGGTATGCTTGCTTTGTTGTTGTTTTTAAGTATCTTTATTTTAATTTTATTTTTTTAAATTTATTTTTATGTGGTGCTGAGGATCAAACCAAGGGCCTTACACATGCTAGGCGAGCGCTCTACCCCTGAGCCACAACCTCAGCCCCACATATGCTATATTTCTTTGTTTCATTAATGGCATGTTTTTCCTGTATCACCTGTTAAGTTTCCAAACACTGAATTCATGGTTCATTTGGTTTGGAAGCCCTAGACTTAAGTTGCTATTAGGATTCCTGCTGGGCTGAGTTTTGTTACCTTGATGAAGGTACAAGTATTGAATGAGATAGTTCCCTTTGGTACAAACAGCCGTCTCCTGATTCTAGAGGCAGCTTTGTGTTTTTTCTCATAAATAATACTTTGGAGGGGGAAAAACAGTGGACTGTAAAGAAGCCTTTTTAGTGGCCTTCTAAATCTCAAGAGGAAAATCAAGCATTTTTTTCATCAATAAACAATTCTTGAGACCCAGACCAAGGCAATTCTTACTTTTATACCTGCTATTGATTGGGGACCTGGAAATTCTTTCTGTTCCACACAGATTCCTATGATGCTAGTGATGAGAGCATGTTCCTGTGACACTTAAGAGAAGTGGGGCTTAGCAAATAGGAAAAAAAGGTGATGTGTACTTTACACTTGGCTGACCTGTGGTATATCTTATGTGACAGGCAGCTTCAGTGCAGATATTCCTGAGGAGCAGATACATTATTATATGTTTCAGTGGCTTTATGTATTGGGATGAATGATATATAGCAGTGCATGCCAGGAGCACTTCAAAGAAAGGAAACCATGTGTTGTTCTGACCAGTTATAAGTGAGAATTGTCCCTATTGTATCAAGACTCTTAAGAGTGGCTAAGGTTGTTGGAGCAATGCAAGTGTCCTCTAGTTATCCTTGGAGCCTGTTCTAGCTTTCCTATGCACTTGCATAAAACAGTTGACTGTACTAGGGACTAGCCATGGTCAATCTTGAAAATAGTCCCTGTGCTAGAGCTTGAATAGTCTCAAAATCCAGGTTTTAGGTTGACCTTAAGAGACCTTAGGAGAACTGTGGGGTTGCATACCACAGTAATTGCAGGAGGGCAGCCTGCTCTTCTAGCCTTTAAAAACAGTAAGGATTTAGGGGCTGGGGAGGTGGCTCAAGCGGTAGTGCGCTCACCTGGCATGCGTGCGGCCCGGGTTCGATCCTTAGCACCCGGCTTAAAGATGCTTAAAGCACAAAGATGTTGTGTCGCCAAAAACAGAAAAATAAATATTAAAAAAATAAATAAATAAACCAGTAAGGATTTGAAACCAGGTCTTTGTCCTTGACACAGTAAGTAGATTGAGTCCTGGTGGGGTACAGATTGGGTGTATTCTCACAGTACTCTATCTAACAGAGTGAGAGAGCAAGGGAAGGTGATTGTCATTTGTATAAGCTCCTTGCCATTCCAGCTATGGCTGGCTGTGATACCTTTCTACTGTGTTGTTTCCTCATGGCAGGGGGCCGGGGGATTGGGGGCAGATCATGGTGCTTGAGCACTATCAATGTCACCCTGTGGCCAGGGACCACTTCCCACTTGTCAGACACAATTGGGAGGAAGTGTATCAAGTTCTTGGGACTTCCATTTTTTTCTTGGAGGATATTCTTTTTCCTTGAAATATTTGCTTTCTAAATGATATGAAGCCATTCTATAAATTTCAAGCTGCAGGAAATGCCAAGTGTCATTTAACACCTTTGAACTTAAAGAAGGCTTAAATCAAACACAAAATTTTGAAGAGTGCTTTAAAAATTCATTAGGCATGGTGCTGTCCATCTATAACCTAGCTACTAGGGAGACTTGAGTATCACAGGTTCAAGGCCAGCTTGGACAATGTAGTGAAATCCTCTCACAAAATAAAAAGAGATAGGGGTGTAGTTCAGTGGTACAGTATTCCTGGGTTTCAAGCCTCAGTATCTCAAAAAATATAATTGTTTTTGTCATCATCATCATCAAAATTAAAAATCTGGAGATGTAGCTCAATGGTACAGAACTTATATTTACAAGGCCCTGGGTTCAAGCAATATGAAAATGCTCTTACCCTGCCTTTTCATTGCTTATCCATTTTGGGGGATCATTTCCTCATTTCATTTGGAATCAAATCATTTATTTGAGTAAATAAAGAAAGAAAACCTCAAAAAAATTAAAAGTGGTTGTTTTGTTTTTCTTTCTTCCTTATTTTTTCCCCCTGTATATGTATATATAGGCTAGGGATGTAACGCAGTAATAGAGTACCACTGGGTTCGGTCCCAAGAACTGAGAAAAAATAAAGAAACAGGAGTGGGGGGGGGGTCTGGGGGAATGAAGCTTGAGAAGAAGCAAAGTTGGTCAGAAGTGGCAACTTGAAAAATAAGTCCAAACAAAACAAAATGTCCATTGGGGGAAATGTATTTAATTAATTACTTTTAGATTTCTCCTCCTCCCTGCTTCCAAAAAATTTTTCTTAAGTTTTGGGTTTTTTTCTTCAGTACCAGGGATTGAACCCAGGGGCACTTAACCATTGAGCCACATCCCAGTCCTTTTTAATTTTTTTATTTTGAGACAGGATCTCACTAAGTTGTTGAAGCTTGCCTTGAATTACAATCCTCCTGCTTTGGCCTGCTGAGTTCCTAGGATTATAGGATGTACCACCACACGGACTTAAGCTTTTTTGTTGTTATTGAGTATTTTTTATGTATTTTTTTAAATAAAGTGGAATATACCAATTTCAGAAAACATTACCCTTTTTTTTTCTATTTTTTAAGTTTTATTTTGTTTATACTATGGAAAATGTCTCCCTCCTAACTCTTACCTTATAACAAAACATTCCAAATTAAATGGTGCTAGATTATGTAAAATAGTTTCCAGTTATTCTGTGTAGAGAAGAACTAAATACGTTAAAAAATTAATCTCGTTGTGCAAACAAACTCTGTTGTTCTTTTAAAATTTCATATGTGAATATTTTAGATTATATAATGCATTTTTGTTCCTAATCTTATTAAATTATTTTGACTTTAGAAAAGTACTTAAGAATGATAATAATACAGTCATCCCTTGGTGTCCTTGTGGAATTCATTCCAGGACACTCACCTGTATCAAAAATCTGCAGCTAAGCAAGTTTCTTATATAGAAAGACATAATATTTGCTTGTAACCCATGGACATTCTCCTATATACTTTAAATTGTCTCTAGATTACTTTTAATACCTACTACACTGAGATACTGTATAAATAGTTGAAAAGCCTGTGCATGTTCAGTACAGATGCTGTTGTTTTTTCCTAAAAATTTTGACCTACTATTAGTTGAATCCATGGATATGGAGGGACAGCTGTGCATGAATTTAAATCATCTGGTTCTAAGAAAATTATAATTTTTACAATTTTACATTTTTTTTATCAATTTATATTTTCTTAGGGCAGAGTAAAGCTAATAACACTTGAAGTTTTATTTGTAAGGAGTAAGATTTCAAAATAAAAGAATTTTATTCAAATAAATTGAATTGCCAGTTCATTTATGTGTTAGGTAATCTGTTAATCCAAGTAGTTTATAAACTGAGTTTGATTGTGTATGTGTGAAATAAACCCAAGGATATAAATATTTATATTTATAGTTTTAAAGGAGATGGAGAAAAGTTATCTTTATAATTATTAAATCTTTTCTATTTGGATATATATATAAGAGGTGTGGTTGTAATAGAAGGAACTCGAAAAGGATAAAAATTTGACTTTTTTTTTATTGGTTGCTCAAAACATTACAATGATGTTGACATATTATATATCGTACATTTGATTCAAATGGGGTATGAATACTCATTTTTACCACATGTACAGATTACAGGATCACATTGGTTATACATCCACGTTTATACATACTGCCATACTAGTGACTGTTGTATTTGACTTGGTGTAGATATCAATAGAGAAATAGAATAAGGAAACAGACAAATTAGTTGAGGGACCAGATGGATCTGAATGGAATAAATATGTGGAAATGGTAGATAAATGAGAGAATGTTTATAAGGATCTTTAAAGAGTTCTAAAATGCAGACCGAAGTGTCTTCTTGTTAATATTCCATTTTTTTTTACAGGCATGCATGTAGGGAATACCGGATTCACAAAGAACTGGATCATCCCAGAATAGTTAAGCTGTATGATTACTTTTCACTGGATACTGACTCGTAAGTGCTGTGCCCCTTTTTTTTTTTTTAAAGAGAGAGTGAGAGAGGAGAGAGAGAGAGAGAGAGAATTTTTAATATTTATTTTTTAGTTTTTGGCGAACACAACATCTTTGTTGGTATGTGGTGCTGAGGATCGAACCTGGGCCGCACGCATGCCAGGCGAGCGCGCTACTGCTTGAGCCACATTCCCAGCCCTAGTGCTGTGCCCTTTTATTGTAGCAGTTAATATTATTTTTTCAAAGTCTTGAGTATTCATGGAATAGAGCTTAAATCTGGACCCAGGAAATACCCTCTGATGGAAACAAATTTATTAATTTATGGGAAAATTATCATATATAAATTCAGATTTGGGTCAGATGGATATCTCTAGGCCGAAAGTTATGGACATTGTGTGATAATAAATGTTCAACAATCAGCTTAATGGGGATAGAGACAGGCTTATTTGTAGTGTTTGCCAATTTCTATAGTATAAGTACTTCCACCATCTCCAGTTTTTAGCCACCAATTTAAAAAACAACAAAATGTCTTTATTTATAATTCATATACCATAAGACCCATCCATTTAAAAAAGGACACAATTCAGTGATTTTTTTTTTAGTATATATTCAGACTCATGCAGCCATCACCAGAGCTGTTTTTAGAACATATTCATTACCCTAGAAGAAGCCTATACCTTCACTATCATTCCTCTATTTCAAAACACATCTCCCATCTTTCTCCCTCAGCCCTAAGCAACTGCTACTTTCTGTCTGTATAGATTTTCTATTCTGGACTTTCACATGAGTGGAATCAAATTGTAGTATGTAGTGTTTCATTCATTTTTATGGCCAAATAAAAATCTCTTATGGATTTGCCACATTTTGCTTATCCATTTGTCCTACAAATTATTTAGTAATTGGCTCACAAAATTCCAGAAAACTTAGTAGCCATCTCTTGGTAATTGGCACAAATTAATGCCAGCATGCCACTGACATGGCCCAGAGAGGGTAAGTTAGTCAAAAGTCTATACCACATCTTAGAGAGTCTCATGAACCCTGCAGGCTTTGAAAAGGAATCAGCAAGATGATGTTACCCTGGAACAAGATTATGGATGTGACACAAGTCTAGAGCCTAATGCTTCAAGTTGAAATGTAGTTCATAGGGGTATGGGATATTAAAATTGAAATGTATCTCGGACTCCAGTCTTCTTATTGTAATAGGTGTCTTTTGAGAACCAGAGAAAGGTAACAATATATAAGATTATTCAAGCCTGGTATGGATAAGTAAGTTCTAGAATTTCTGGGCTTATCAAGGAGTCAAGAAATAGTTCAGCACTTGGAAAATGATTTTTCTGTAATGACAGAGTCAGGCCTGAGTGAGAATATACCTTAGCTCTGGTCTTCAGGTGTTCCCTCAGCCTCCTAAGGTGATTCTAGGAATTTGGCCTATTCAGCCAGCAGCTATCTTAAATTGCTACACAGATAATTGTCTGACATTTAGAAATGTCCACAAAAGGCCATATTCTCTTTGGAAACATGGCCTCTCTTCCATCTGCTCAGGGTATCGTTCCCTTTTCATTGAGGAGGCCCTTTGCACCAGGCACAGCCGTTTGTTTTGAATGGGGTAGGATTCAGAAAAATAATCTGGTTAAAGGGCAGGAGACGGAAACCTGGCTCCACAGGATGGCATGACTGTTTTGCTTTGAGTAGATTCCTTGAATAACAGGTAGAGCCCCCTCCCCCTTTCTAAAATGTAAGTAGTAAGACTATTTCAAAAATAAATATAATGGCTTGGATTACCTGCTGTTCTGAATTGTATGTTCACTTTTAATGTGATAAGTTGATTCCTGTTGTATATGATGAAATTTCTCCAAAAAAAAAAAGACCATTGTTTTAGAATGTCTCCTGAGAATTGTTTAGGTACTAAAAGAGAAATTTTATTTCTAGCTTACATTTGTGTCAAAGAATCAGTTCACTGAGCATGAAAATCTGTTTCTGATTTTAGCATCTATATAAATCATATATTTATTTTCAAAAGAGTGATAGCAAGCCCTGCTATGTTTCATAAGACGTATAAGCTATTGCTCAGGTTTTAGATTCCATAAGACCATGAGTGTTTGCAATCAGTTGCAATGCTTTTTGAAAGTCTCCAGTTGCCCAGAACTCACATTCCTGAGCCTGTGTGCTGTTACTTCTGTTCCTCACCCTTCCCTGCTCTGCATCTAGGGGGGTTGCCTCTTTTTTGTAGGTTGTGCTTACCAAGCTCATACATTAGTTGATGTCCAGCAGATAGGGAGGCAGAGATGCAGGGGATGTGTCTCTTCCCCAAAACCTCACTCCACAGTTCCAGTTTCCTGGGTTCTGATTGAACCATCTCCTCCCTCTGACCCTTTCACCTTAGTGTACTAATGGCTCTCTGCTGTAGTTGATTTCTGGGGCTCCTCACTGGTCAGTGTGTTCGATTAACTCTTCCATCGCCTTTGTGATCATTTTTTTTCTCCTCAGTCTTAAATACTTAAGTGTGGGGTGTTTGTTTGTTTGCTGTATTGGGGATCAAACCCAGAGCCTTGTACTTGATAGATAAAACACTCTGCCACTGAGCTACATCCCCAGCCTGTACTAAAGTGTTTTTTGTTTCCTGGCTAGACCCTGAATAATAGATCTAACATTGTAACAAGTTAGAACAGTTTAAAAGGTACTCATCTCTCAGAGATATTCAAATAGTTCAAAAACCTTACTTCAGTTTATAACACCTTGGAAGATAGACACCTGACCTACAATGCCACTAATGATATGTAGTCTTAAATGTGGCTCTTAAATGTGTACAGATGTGTTGACATAAAACAAGAAAAAATAGACCTAATACCATGTAATAACATATTTATGTAGCATTATGCCAAACTGCTAGGATACATAATATGTGCCCAATTTGGGGGACCTGGGCAAACTCTAGATTCTTTCTCACAGTCAGCACTCAGGGTTATGTAAAATGTTTGCAGTGAGAATTGTGTACTTGATCACAGCATGGCTGTTTAGAAATGTGTGCATGATGAGTATGTGAAGGAGACCCTCACAAGATGTCCAGCTCACATATCTTAGTTCTTCTCAGTGTTTTTCAAGTCTGGGATCCAAAAGAACTGTTCCATGGTGACTCTCAGTACAATTAATGCCAACAGGGAGGACATGAGGCTCTTCTCCAAGAGAGCGAGTACTTTTCTTCCATGAACTTCTCCAGTAGCAGATACTGAGGAAAAAATAGAAGAGTGTTTTAAGAAACAGAAAAAAGAGAAGAGAAGCTAATGACCTAAAGTTTTCTCTGGGACTGGTTTAAATCATCTTAATTGGCTTGTTCTTATTCCATGGCTAAATGTTGGTTTATTTGTCTTTAGGTTTTGTACAGTGTTAGAGTACTGTGAGGGAAATGATCTGGACTTCTACCTGAAACAGCACAAATTAATGTCGGAGAAAGAGGCCCGATCCATTATCATGCAAATTGTGAATGCTTTAAAGTACCTAAATGAAATAAAACCTCCCATCATACACTATGACCTCAAACCAGGTATGTCTAACTTTTAGGAGACAGTATTGGTGACTTTTCAGTCTTCCAATTGACCTTTACTTTTTTTAAAATATTTTTTTAGTTGCAGATAAGCAAGATTTGAGAAAGAACTGTTCTGACAAGCTAGTTTTGCTTTTTCTCTCATCACTCACACTACGTAGTGATTCCTCTGCTCCAAGTCTTATTTTGATAAGTGCCTCCAAATGACTTATTTTGCACATGTGCCTTCCATTTCATTAAATTTTGAGAATTTTTTCACCTTTTCACCTATAATTTTGATAGTCATCAACAAAGAATATAGGACACACAGACTTCTTATCTCTCTCTTTTTTTGTACTGGGATTAAATCTAGGGTTGCTTAACCATTGAGCCACATTCCCAGCCCTTTTCATCATCATTTATTTGTTTTTTTTTTTTTTAGAGAGAGAGAGAGAGAGAGAGAGAATTTTTTTAATATTTATTTTTTTTTAGTTCTCGGTGGACACAACATCTTTGTTGGTATGTGGTGCTGAGGATCGAACCCGGGCCGCACGCATGCCAGGCGAGCACGCTACCGCTTGAGCCACATCCCCAGCCCATCATTTATTTGTTTATTTGTTTGTTTATTTATTATATGCCAGGGATTGAACTCAGGGGCACTCCACCGCTGTACTGCATCCCCAGCCCTATTTTTGTATTTTATTTAGAGACAGGGTCTCACCGAGTTAGTTGCTTAGCACCTTGCTAAATTGCTAAGGCTGGCTTTGAACTTGCAATCCTCTTAAGCCTCTGAGATTACAGGTGTGCACCACTATACCCAGCTGTTTTTATATTTTATTTTGAGACAGGGTCTCACTAAGTTGCTGAGGCTGGCTTTGAACTTTGAATCTGCCTATCTTAACCTTCTGAGCTGCTGGGGTTATATGAGTGCAGCACTGCACCCAGCTTTATCTCTTTTTTTTGTTGTTATCTTCAGCTATTTCTTAAGAGTCTACATGTGTTCCATGTAGACAGCTCTAACCAATTCAGTTGGGAGCATTAAGAAGATGGTTCCCATTTACCTCCCACTGTGGAAAAATGATTAATATTGTTTTACTCTTCTGATAGATACACATTAAATCTCACTATTAACTATTATTTAATGTGCTAAAAAGAGTCAGGTGACTTAAAAATTAATTATAATAAAATGATTTTTAAAAACAACGGCTACTCTGTGACTAGGTTTTCCATCTATGAATTCAATGCACTTTACTGCCATATGACCTGTAGGTGGTGCTATGATGTTAGCTACCATTCCTATGTATATATATTTTTTTAACACACACACACACACACACCCATTCTAAACAGGGTAGAGATTTCACTAAAGTTCAAATGAAGTTTTCCCATCATTATGACCAACTATACAAGTGATATTTTACTTTGGCAACTTATTTCTGTTTCCAGTGCTCATAATAGTGATTTTGGCACATTAAGCAGATAATTCTTAGGAAACAGAACTTTTCAGTAGATATCAAGGATTCTCCTGTAGCATCCAGAGTTATATAGCTTTATTCTGAAGATTTATATGGTTGTAAGAATGAGTCCACTTGTTCTCTTTTTGTCTGATATTACTTTGGATTTTTCTCTTAAGTCTCTGCTTATTCATGAAGATTTTTATCTTTTTAGGTAATATTCTTTTAGTAAATGGTACAGCATGTGGAGAGATAAAAATTACAGATTTTGGTCTTTCCAAGATCATGGATGACGATAGCTACAATTCAGTGGATGGCATGGAGCTAACGTCACAAGGTGCTGGTACTTATTGGTAGGTATCCAGGAGGCCTGGCAAGTTGGCTGGTGGAAATGTGTCTCTGCCATACAGAAGCCTTGGTAATTAACAATTTTCATATACTGTGTACTAAGGTAGAAATAATATAACTGTCTTTTCAGCAGTTTGACCTTTTATATTAATTGTCTTACTTTTTCTTTCCTCTCTTGAAAACCCTTGAGCTTATGTGTGGCCAGGTCTTAGAGATGTATGTTTTCTCCACAGGGCTGACCTTACAAGTCAGTAGAGAGTGAGGTTGTTCATGTGGTATATAAAAAGAATGGCTCCAAATTATTTTCAGTACAAATGGAAGTCTCTCTCTTCATGGGTTAAGGGGATGAGGGTTTTGTTTCTAGAGTTACCTGAGGATGGTGGACTATCAAGAATTAAGGAGTTGTGAAGATCAGGATGGAAAAAAAACCCACAGCATCCCATGAAATCTATACAGGAACAAGTGAGCACAGTTTACCAGAAGTTTATCCATATCTGTTAGCCATGTTCTACAAAGTTGTGAGACACATTTCTTCTCACCATTTACTGTCACCTGTCTTTCCCCAACTACCCTACTTCAGTTAGTTTTGCTATATCCTCTTCTATTCCTGCCTACTATTACTTTTTCCCCTTGCTATTACCTGTGGCCGAGGCATTTAACTTTGTAATTGTAAAAGTATGTTAACAAAGCTTTCCTTTCCCTTCAAGGTGGTTATACAAAGCCACATATTAGCATCTGTGATTTTGAACCTGGAAGGGCTCCTTAGCACTAAGGAAGGCGTAACATGCTCTTGTATCCCTTCGTCAGGGATCACTTATATTTGGGACTAGAGGCAGTAGGCCTTAGCAGAATACTGACTAGGAATGAAGGGATTGACAAAGAAGCAGTCAGGGAAGAGGGCCATGCCATTCGCTATGCACAGAGTGAGGCTGTTAATACCCAGTGCACCACACAGTGCTCTCTGTTGGTCCTTGTGCTTGTGGAAATGGTGCTTATAGCAAAGAGTCAGTCTCTAAATTAAAACTCTGAAATTTGAGGTTTAAAATAGAAGCTGCACTTACAATGTTTATTCAATATGATAATTATTGCGGGTTAGTGTCCCTGTCACTAACTGATGCAAAAATATCTATTGTTGGAAATTCCGGAAAGTTTTATACCTCAACTATATAAATTTGCTAGAACTTAGATTTGGGCTTTATGTTTGACAGCTCATTGTTTTTAAAAGGTGCATTTTTTTCTTGTTTAAAATAGTGATCTTATTGCTACATAATGCTTTATTTACATAGTTATAAAAAAATTCAGCAATTGGAATTTAAATAAATATCATGTGAAGGCCTGGGGATGTAGCTCAGTGGCAGAGGGCTTAACATCACATGCATGAGGCCCTGGGTTCAATCCCCAATACCACCCAAAAAAAAAAAAAAAAGAAAAGTTATGCTTCAAAGTTATCTGTTATATGGGGGTTCATGGGAAAGGGTGAGCATGAACAAAGATTGGCCACATGGTGATGCTTATTAAAGCTGGAGAATGGTTATTTTGGGGTTTATTTTACTGTTCTTTTTTTTTTTTAATACTTCTGTTTTATTTATTAACTTTTATGTGGTGCTGAGGATTGAACCCAGGGCCTCACACGTGTTAGACGAGTACTGTATCACTGAGCCACAACCCCAGTCCTACTATTCTTTTTACTTTAGATTATGTTTGAAGATTTTCGTAATGCATATAAGAAAGGGGGCTTCTGAAAAAATTAAGGTTTATAGATTTTTCTGAAGGTTTGAGTCTCTGTTAGTGAAAACATTATCATAATCACCATCCCTCCATGTCATCCTCTTAACATGACCCAGAGAGCTACAAATATACTGGAAGGATATAATATTCTGAGTGACTATTTGCAGTTTTTAGTTGTTCCAGAATTCTTCTACATTGACTACTTCTTTAAAATAGTGAATCGTAGACTATGCCGTGAACATCATTTCTCTGTAAGAATTTTTATTGTGATAGAAATACAGCTGTGTGTGTGTATTTTAACACAGTTTAGTGTAGCATTATAGAGTGGTCTTTAGTTTTCCTCCCAAAGTCCTTGACAGGAAATGAGAATTTTATTTTCAGTATTATTTGGGTAAAGAACTAGTTTGTTTCTTCATTTATAGATGGAGAAACTGAGACCTAAAAAGTGATTTACTAGACTTGTACTGTCAAGTACAAGTGTTATTTATTTTTAATTTTTTAAAATATTTATTTTTTTTTTTTAGTTTTCGACAGACACAACATCTTGTTTGTATGTGGTGTTAAAGATCGAACCCGGGCCGCATGCATGCGAGGCGAGCGCGCTACCACTTGAGCCACATCCCCAGCCCACAAGTGTCATTTATATCCTGAAAATCTTGCCAAATTATTGTGCTATCTTTGGATAAGCTTACCAACCCCTGATCTTCCCTACCACCTCCACCAAAAGTTAAAAACACATTAAATTGATCATTTTAGAATCAAGCTTATGTTTTTCCTTTATCCAAGATCATATTAAGTTTTGTATATTAAAGAATCAAGACTGAAAGCTTGGATCTGGGGAGTTTTTTGTGACAGTTGGAAGAGCTGGGTTTTTAAATTTTTTTCCCCTGTATTTTTTATTTCTTTGATTTTTTTTTTTTCCTTCTTTAAGTTCTGGATGGATCGCTATTTCATTTTTCAATGTGGGTTTTGGTGTTTTTTGGGGGTGGGTACTTTACTTCATAGGTATGTTATTAATGCCATAAATTGGAAACTGTTTCTGTTTTGTTGTGATGATGTCTGTGTTGCCCAGGCTGATCTCAAATTCCCAAGCTCAAACCATCCTCCTGCCTCAGCTCTCCAACCCCGCCCCACCCCCCACCCCGCCAAAAAAAAAACCAACCCTGGAACTACAGAAGCACCTCCTTGTGTCCAGCTGGTTATTTGTTTGGTTTTGTTTTTTGTGGTGCCCCAGGGCCTCCAGTATGCTAAGCATGCACTCTGTTACTGGGCTACACCCCCAGGCCTCAGCACATTTTGGCTAAAAGTTTTCATTGTGAAATACCATCTAGTCAAAGGCCCTAATCGTTCAAAAATATTTTGTTAAGAAAAATAAGACAAGTGAACAAACTTCTTTCAAAGAAAAAAAAAATGCTGTGTACAGCAGCACAAGACTATACTCCCAGCTGCTCACGAGGTTGAGGCAGGAGAATTGCTTGATATCAGTAGTTCAAGTACAAGTTCGGGAGCATATCAATACTCCTACCTCACAAAACAAATGAACAGACAGACAAAAAAAGAAAAGAGAGAAAGCCTTTCATTTGAACTAAACTTAACAAAGATGGAAAATAGGAGAAGGAACATCTGCCTCTCACCTTTTATGGTCCCTCTAAGCTCTAAGTTTAGATTTTTTTCCCAGGTGTACAGTGAGGGTCCAAAATAAGAGTTTTTCATAGAATGGGTTTTGCCTGCACAAAATCAACAGAAATTGATCTGTTTTCTTCAGAATTTTACCTTCTAGTTGTGCCAAAGCTAAGACTCCAGGTGTATTTGTTTGGTTTCCTGGATGCCCAGAAGCACTTAACTTTCTATACCTTACAATTTGGTGTGGTCAGCTGTCCTCTGTTTCTTTAGAGACCATTGGTGAGGAGAGAAGGAATTTAGGTGAGAAATAGGTTGTGCTAACAAGTTTGGCTTTTGCTGCACTATTTGCCAGTAAGCCCCAATCCTCCTTAAAGTAGGAAATATAAAATCTTTTGACAATTTGAACTTTAATATCTTTTGATTTATTTATTTATTTTGTTGTTAATGGACATTTATTTATTTGCAGTGCTGAGAATCAAATCCAGTGCCTCACACATCCTAGGCAAGTGCTCCACCACTGAGCTACAACCCCAGCTCTATTTTTGTTTGTTTTGTTTTTGCTGGTAGTACAACGGATTGAACCTAGGACCTTGTTCATACAATGCAAGAGCTGTAAATATGAGCAGTGATCCTAGCCTTTTTTTTATTATATTTTGAGACAGGATCTTGCTAAGTTGCCCCATCTGGCCTCGAAATTGTGATTCTCCTTCCTCAACCTCCCAAGGAGGTGGCATGCGCCATCACACCAACTTACCCTTGATTTTTTATATTAGAGTTAATTCTAGTCAACATTTCACAAAAAGGCTACCTTAGGAAGGCAGAATAGAGCCAGGTGCAGTGGCACATGCCTGTAATCCCAGTGCCTGCAGAGGCTGGGGCTGGAGGATCATAAGTTCAAAGCCATCCTCAGCAACTAAGTGAGGCCCTAAACAAATCAGTGAGATTCTTTCTTTAAATAAAAAGTAAAAAAGAGCTGGAAATGTGGCTTAGTGGCTAAGCACCCCTGGGTTCAATCCTCCGGTACCACCAAAAAAAAAAAAAAAAAGGGGGCAGTCTACCTGCTCCATACTCCACAGAGCTCTATAATGAGACCTGAATTAACTTGACTTTTAAAACCATCTGTTAATTTTTCAGGGCATGGTGGCACACACTTGTTAGTCCCAGCAATTTGGGAAACTGAAACTGGAAGACCATAAGTTCAAAGCCAGTCTGGACAACTGAGTGAGACCCTCATCAACTAAGTGTGACCCTATTTCAAAATTAAAAAATAAAAAGGGCTGGGGATATAGCTCAGTGGTAAAGCACCCCTGGGTTCAGTGCCCAATAAAAAAAAAAACCAAAAACCCGCACTAATTTTTAAGGACTGGCAGTAATCTTAGTGGAAGACATGGTTTTAATCCCCAGTATTTAAAAAAAAAAAAAAAAGCAAAAACCATTTATTGATGTTAGAGACATCTTTAGGCAATGAAAGAAAACCATTTCTAGTTATATTTTAATATTTGTTCATAAAGTGATTGTAAAAGGGAAGTCTTTTCTTTTGTCCCCACCTCATTAAAAAAATCTGTTGAGGGGTTGGGGTTGAAGCTCAGTGGTGTAGAGCTTGTCTAGCATGTGAAAGGCAGTGGGTTTGATTCTTAGCACCACATATAAATAAATAAAATAAAGGTCTATCAACAACTTAAAAAAAAAAAACTGTGAGGATTAAATAAAGGTTTATGTAGCCCAGTGGTGGAGTGCTTGCCTAGCATGGGCAAGATCCTGGGTAACAACAACAAAAACAACAACAACAAAAAGAAGCATGTTGAATGACACTTGGATTAGGCATAGCTCCAGGAAAGGAGACTGCAGACTAGGGAGAATATTTTCCTCTTTCTGTAAAAAGAGAAATGTATTTTAATGCCTATATGGGCATTACCACCTTCCTAAATCTTTTCATCAACTCTCATACTTTTCTAAGTTGATTTTAAATCCAGATATTGCTATTATCAATAAGACCTTTTATTTTGCCTTTTTATACTTGTCTTAGATTTATATATTCATTTTCTAAGAATTTTTATTTCTCTTTTCTCCCAGGTATTTACCGCCAGAGTGTTTTGTGGTTGGGAAAGAACCACCAAAGATTTCAAATAAAGTTGATGTCTGGTCAGTGGGTGTGATCTTTTACCAGTGTCTATATGGAAGAAAGGTGAGGAAGAAGGGTGAAATAGCAGCTTGACTTGCTTCCTGGGTGGCATATATACATTGTACCTTGGTGTGGATTTGCTCTTGGAGTTAATCATTGGGTTATACTAAATGGAATCTCAAAAGTAATGGTTCAAAGAAAATACAGACTTACTAATAAAAGCTTTATGCATAAGCACAAATTCTCAAGTACAGGGTATCTAATGAATTCTGCTGGGCCATTGAAAACATGCAGTTTTGCTATTCTCAATTAGATCCAGAACATGTTTTGATTCTCATAATATGTGAAGGGGTTTAACATGAAGTAGTTTATAGTGAATAATCAAGATCATTCTCAAGGGGCCTAAGAACTAAAATTCAGAAAATCCCTAGACTTTATTTTTAATGTTAATGAAAGTGTGCTTTACATTTTGTACTAGGGAGGTGGTTTCAGAAAGTATCCCTTGCCTCTTGTTTCTGATTGAGGTAATGTCATTTAAACAAATAATAACCCAGGTAGTAAACTACATCTAATGAATTTTTACATTTGTTTTTCCCTTGTAAGTTTAACTTATAAATACACAGAGATCCAGTTATGTATATATGTATATTCCTATTTAATCTTTAGTTTTGTGTGTCTCAGTGATTCCATTAGGCTATGGGTGTAAGCCAGATGGGAGCCCTGAAATACCTCTAAAGTCTTGACATTTTGATTAGACTCCCCATACCAAGCTCTTAATCAAGATGACTCCTTCCCATTTAACTTTTCCTTGGTCTTTCTCCTACCTCTCCGAAACATGGAGACTATTCAGGGAAACTAGTAGGGCTTAATTATTATTTATACTCTCTGATAATGTTGAATTGGCTGCTGATGGTAGTGGTAGAGGTCATCCAGAAAAAATCGTTTAAGGTCTCTTGGTAGAAAGATGGTAGAGATGACAGTAAGGTTGAACTTATTTAAAGAGTTTTATCAGGAAATGTCAATTTGGGGACAGATACCAGCACTAAGTGGCCCCCTGTCCTTTTTTGTTCCCACTCTCTCCTTAGCACTTCTACTCTTTTACTTCCTTTTTTATACTTTTTTCTCTGCATCTTAGGTTAGCCAGTGGCAGGCACATAGTGTGTAGTGCTTAGGCCCATAGGTGTCTTTCAGAGTACAACAGGTTGCTGGTTCCTGCTCTGTATCGTCCCCTTTTTTATTGTGAACAAAACTTGAGATAGGAAATGCTGCTGCTGGTTCCTGCTCTGCCTTGTTTGACCTAATCCTTAAGCTGTGAGCCCTTTCCTCTTATCTGTGAAAGGAGCGAAATGGAAAAAATCATCTCCAGAATCCCTTCCAGCCATGGTAGGGGAAAATGTCTTCCCCTCTTTCTTCCCTGTGGTACTGAATTGTATTCTCTTTAATTTTAATCAGAGACCTACCCTTATTTGCTTGTTTGTGTTGTTTTTAATATGACAGCCCTTTGGCCATAACCAGTCCCAGCAAGACATTCTACAGGAGAATACTATTCTTAAAGCTACTGAAGTGCAGTTCCCACCAAAGCCAGTAGTAACACCTGAAGCAAAGGTAAGTTTAATCCATCAGCTAACAGAAGTGACTGCTTTGTTTTCTGTTATTTCTTTGGGTAGTAGTGGTTATGTAATTATTTGAATTGAAAATCAGTTATTAAAAACATTAGGAAAGGCATGAGTTAAATATTCCTAAAAATAGGAGAAGAATATTGGTTATACTCTGCCCATCTCATCTCTAAGTCCAGTGAAAGAATGTTATGTAGGTGGGTTTTTAATCCACAAAGGCTCCCTAGAGTCAGGACAGAGAAAGGAGAGCAGTTCGATGGTGATGTACCAGGCTTTCTGGGCAATAGAAAGGATTCCCAGCCTCATCCCTATTTAGGACTATCAATTTTGGGAGTTAAGTCCCATGTGGGAAAAATGATATGAATACTAAAGCATTGGGGTTAAACAGCAGTGAGTGGTAAACAGTAAAGTCTATACCAGTTGGTGAACATGTGTCTAAACCTTCACTGTGGCCAAGGAAACATGGAATGGAGGTGGTGAAAGAAAACTAAAATATTCAGTCTTGCAAACCAAGATTTCATTGGCTGTTCATATACTTGATCTCTTCTTATGTATTATCCAAAGCTACTTAAGATCAGTGGTGGTCAACTCTGTTGGATGCCATAGTCATTCAGCAACTTTAAAGTCAAAGCAAGCAGTATAAGTCTAATTCTTTTTACGAGTGTTTGTCTTGCTGTTTCCTCATGGCACACCTATGTGAAGAGATTAGAAAGGAGTCTCTTTTTTAAGTGTTCTAGCTGATGTATTACATCAGCTTTTCCATGTATTACATGGAAAGAGGGAACATCTTTAGCAGTTGTTTATAATTACTGATAGGTTGACTTCTTGCCCCCATCATTTGGGCTTAAACACTCCCTAACTAGTAAATTAAATCTGCAAGAGAGTGCTGTGTGCAGTGATGTACACCTGGAATCCCAGTGACTCTGGAGGCTGAGGCAGAAGGATAGCAAAAAAAAAAAAAAAAATTAAAACTGAGGATGTAGCTCATTGGTAAAGTGCCTCTGGAGTCAATCCCCAGTGTGCCCCCTTCCCTCCCCCACCAACCACCCCCCACCAAAAGAAAAAATCTGCAAGGAAGGAGTTCCATAATACATTACTAAGGAATATGCGGGGTTTCTAACTCCTGGGAGAGGACTAGAGAGACCCTCAGTGGTGAAGCCTGCCCTAATTTTGATGTCTGCACTGGACTCAACAGCTATATGACTTTGGGCTAGTTTACTTAAACTTTCTGAGTTGTTTTGCTTTACCCATGAAACAGAAATGCTTTCAGGTAATTGTGAGGTTCAAAAGGACTGAATCACTTGCCATTCAGTACCTTCTGCAGTTGCTCTTAGTTAATGACCATGCCCCATCTGCCATCTAGGGTGACACTGAGGAACAGATTGCCTAAAAGATGTTTAATTTTCATCTTTCAGGTCTCTGAAGACCCATTTCTTCATTTTGACCATTTTGTCAAATTTTAGTATTCATTCAATAAATAGATGAACAAAACAAATGTTCTTAACTTTAGAGTAAATTGAATGGACCTCCTATAAAGAATACGGAAATATCTGAGTTTTTCCGCTAATTGCCTCCTATCTGGCCTCTTCCTGCATAAGTATTTCTCCAACCCCTACCCTCTTTTCTCCCTCTCCTCCCACAGCAAATATTTATTGAGTGCCTATTAGTCATTGGACAGTGTTGTAGATAATGGAGATGGAATTGTGAAAATGTGGCAATAAACTATACAGATGAGTTTCCTGTCCTTAAGGAACTTACGTTCCAATAGGAGAGACAATAAAACATAATTGGATGCATATCAGATGGTTATAAATGTTATAAAGAAAATAAATTAGAGTAAGCGGTAGGGGAGAAGGTTCGCTAGGGAAGTGGGAACCCCTTTTTTGATGGCATGGTTGGGGGTGGCCTCGATGATGAATGGACATTTCAGGTAGTGTCTTGAGCCACTGATATGAAGATGGGAGCCATGTGTAGATCTGTGGGGGAAGCATTCTTGAGAGAAGCAAGCACAGCTCACGTGTGAGAATGAGCTCACAGGTCCACCACTTATGCAGAACAGAGGAGAGAATGGTAGAAAGGCCCTGGGCCATTGTGAAACATGGTGGAAGGAGGCGAGGGGTGTAATTAGGACAACTGTGTGATCCAGTTGGCAGTTTTAAGAGCATACACTGGCAGCTACGTAGAAAGAAAATTAAAGATAGAAGAAGTAGGGCTGGGGATGTGGTGTGGCTCAGTTGTTGAACTCAGGATGAATGCCTCTGAGTTCAATCCCATAAAAAAATAAATAAATAACATTTATTTAAAAAAGAAGAAGTAGTAGTAGTAGTAGTAGTAGTAGTAGTGGTAGTAGTAGCAGCAATAGTAGTAGTAGTAGTAGTAGTAGTAGTAGTTGTTTATTTTGCCAGTGTCTGACCCAAACCTGTTAAACTTTTTGCATGTATGTATGTGTGGCAGGAGTGTGTACTGGGCACTGAACCCAGGGGTTCTCTACTACTAAGCAACATGCCCAGCCCTTTTCATTTTGAAACAGGGTCTCATTAAATTGCTGAGGCTAGCCTGGAATTTGTGGTCTTTTCTTCTTGCCTCAGTTCCCACGTAAACTGGGATTATAACTGTGTGCTACTGCATCCAACAGAAGGGTTCTCTTTTAAAGACCAAGTGTTGTTATATTCATTTCTGTGAATTTGTTTTTATCTTCCAAATCTTCAATCAAGTAAGTATCTTTGATTTTTGAAAGCCCAAATTTGACATTGTATGATTTTTGTTTTTCTTGGTTTTTTTTTTTGGCGGGGGTGGGGAGTTGATACTGTGGATAGAACCCAGGGATGCTTTACCATTGCACTACATCCCCAGGCTGCCCTCTATGTTTCATTTTTTAATTATTTTTTTTTGAGACAGGGTCTTGCTAAGTCACTAAGGCTGTCCTCCAACTTTTGATCCTCCTGCCTCAGCCTCTGGGTTGCTACAATTACAGGTCTGCACCACTGCACCTGGTGGCATTGTACTTTTTAAACTTGGAAAAAATAGAAAATCATTTATTTTGCATTACAGATTTTGTTGTAAATAAACTTAGGTTTTTTTGGCAGTGTTAGGTTCCCAGCAGAATTGAGCAGAAAATACATAGTACACATATACTACCTGCCCCTCCCCTAGAACTTCCCATATCAACATCAGACACCAGAGTAGTACATTTGTAATTATTGGTGACCCTACATTGGCACATCATTTTCACCCTACTGTAAAGTATAGGCTTTTGGTGATAATGATGCTTTAGACTTTTCAAAATTGATTCATTTATTTAAAATAGTTGCATTATAAAACTGAGTAAATAGAACTGTCTAGTTGAATAATAGGAAGCAAGAGGAAAATAATGGTATATATAGGTCCATGATGATAAGAATTATAGCAGTAAGATTACATAGCCTTTTATACCTAGCAGAAAGAAAACCGCCATGTTGGTAATAAATTCGAATTCCTTGTCAAACTCCCTCACTGTTTGTTTTTGTGTCTGTAGTACCTTTGGAGATATAGTCGTATTCAGTTTTCCCTATAATGCTTAGATAGTGCCTCATCATTTGCTTAATGACCTTTCACGGGAAGATAGGATATGTAGGGAAAGCATTTCAAAGCCACTGGGCATGTTGCTCGGTGGTAGAACACCCCTAGGTTTAGTGCCCAGTACACTCCTGCCACACATGCACATATTGTGTTGTCAATCATTGTCAATCTCCTTTCACTGCATTGGTGGTAGTGTAAGCTTAGAATTTCCACTTCCTCGGAAAATCACATGAGACTGTGGTTTGTTGATGCAAGACTGTGAAGTTAGACTTTTCCCATCCAAACCAACACTTTTTGGTTGGTCTAGTGCTTTATAGGCCAGGAGTACTTATAGAGGCCCTTCTGTAGCGGGTGGGAGTGGGGAATATTGCAACAGAGGGGTTCCCTTTCCCTATCTTCCCTGGGTCTGCCTGATGGTTTCCAGGAAAGGCCCTAAGCACCTTCTCTTTATGAGATGTCTGCTTTGGGCCCTGGCAGTAGATCCAGAGCCTCTAGTTCCCTCAGGGGTGCTGGGATTGTCTGCTACAACCTTCTACAAGAAACTTTCCTTTGCAGGCTTTTATCCGGCGATGCTTAGCCTACCGAAAGGAGGACCGCATCGATGTTCAGCAGCTGGCCTGTGACCCCTACTTGCTGCCTCATATCAGAAAGTCGGTCTCCACAAGTAGCCCTGCTGGAGCTGCTATTGCATCAACCTCTGGGGCGTCCAATAACAGTTCTTCAAATTGAGACCGACTCCAATGCCACAAACTGTTAACGCACAGAGTGGACAAACAGCATTCAGCAGCGGGTTTGGAACTTAGCGAATCCGAATGGATCTCATGAAACCTGTACCAGGTGCTTTTATTTTCTTGCTTTTTTCCCATCCATAGAGCATGACAGCATCGATTCTCATTGAGGAGAAACCTTGGGCAGCTCTGGCCAGGCCTCGTAGGAAAAGGCCCCGCCCGAGGTTCTGGCGTCACCAGCCACTGTGTGTGGCTGCTCTGAGTGAGGAAAAAATTAAAAAGAAAAACTGGTTCCATGTACTGTGAACTTGAAAATATGCAGACTCAGGGGGGTCCCTGATGCAATGCTTCAGATGAAGAATGTGGACTTGAAAATACAGACTGGGCTAGTCCAGTGTCTATATTTAAACTTGTTCTTTTCTTTTAATAAAGTTTAGGTAACATCTCCTGAAAAGCTTGTAGCACAAAGGCTCAGCTGGGGATGGTGTTTGACTTCGGAGGAAAAAAGTTGCTATTGCCCGTTAAAGGCACTAGAGTTAGTGTTTTATCCCTAAATAATTTCAATTTTTAAAAAACATGCAGCTTCCCTCCCCTTTTTTTATTTTTGAAAGGATACATTTGGTCATAAAGTGAAACCCGTATTAGCAAGTACGTGGCAATGTTCATTCCAGTCAGATGCAGCTTTCTCCTCCGTCTGGTCTCCTGCTTGCAATTGCTTCTGTCTCAGTTGGGAAAGAAGGGAGTGGGAGTACTGAGATGTGCGGGTTTTTGCCATTGGACAAAGAATGAGGTTAGAAGACTGCAGCTTGGAGTCTCTCTAGGTTTTCAACTTATTTCTTCACAATTTGAACACTTGACGGTTGTCCCTTTTAATTTATTTGAAGTGCTATTTTTTTAAATAAAGGTTCATCTGTCCATGCAGTCCTCCTGGATTCTCTGAATGTAGTAACTATCAAAACTGTTCCAAAGGTAGGCAGAAAACAGGCTGGAAAGCCAAAAACTCCAGGGATCAGTAGTTCCTACCCACAGTCTTTGTGTGCTTGCTAAATGATGTACATTTCTTGTTACCACATTATTAAAACTTGATCGGCACATAAGCTTTCTTCTGTTAGATCTTTTGGCAGGAAACAACCTTCTCCCAGTATTTGGTGGGTGTGTGCTGGTGTGTGTGTCTATGTGTGCATGTACACACACACTTTGTCTAACTCACTTTAATAGATATATCAAGTGAAATTTTTTTAAAAAAAAAAATCAGCTCAAGGAAAATAGGTATTTCAACTATGAATGTTCTTTTGGAACTAATTTTTAAAAACATTTGGTTGTTTCTGAGACATGTGATTAACTGAAGATGGAGCTGAAATGGGAGACATGTGGCCCCACAGTGCCCTTGAAACAGCAGAGCCCTCGGCAGGAGAGGGAAGGAATCCAGAGCCTGAACATGTGGTAGCCAGCTTGGAATGTTACTGACAGATGTGGCAAGAGGGCTCAGCCAGAAGTATTTAAAGATGTAGCATTCAAGCCCGCTTGTTTTCTGGGCAGGAAGGGAGTCAGGAAGGGCAGAGCTCTCAAATTGCTCATGATTCTAGAGTTTCTTTTACACGTGAAAAATGTCACTAATGACACATTTTCTAGGACTGTTGTTTGTTTTGTGGACCTGCCCCACTTTCCTCAGTATCAAGCCATCTTAAGAGAAGGTGGAACATTCCAAACTGAATGGGTAGGTGTTATATGGAACGCGGAAGGAAAGAAGTCAGCCCCAGAGGCCTTGGTGTTCCCTCAGCTTTTTAAAAACTATTTTATTGAAATAAAATGTTGATATTTATACACACATGCCTGTGTATGTGTGTGTGTGTGTGTGTGTGTGTGTGTGTGTGCTTTTCTCTTTGATTTTCTTTTGTGCCACTGAGCCCTGCCCCCCCCCCCCTTTTTTTAACCACTGCCTTCAAGCTGCTAAGCAGAGAGCAGCAGGTTGATTGAACAGAGTGGTCTTCACATATATGAAGAGATGAAGAGACAAATGAAGTTGAGACCATATTAAACCAACTAAAAACAGTTTAGTTCTGTGCTTTTTCCCCTTTCCTCTTTATAGTGATCTTGCAGTTTCATTTTTTTTGTTTGTTTGTTTTTGATACCAAGGGCACTTAACCACTGAGCTATATCTCCAGCCCTTTTTAGTATTTTATTTAGAGACAGGTTCTTGCTGAGTTGCTTAGGGCCTCACGAAATTGCCAAGGCTGATCTTGAACTCACGATTCTCCTGAGCCTCTGGGATTACAGGTATGCACCACTGTGCCTAGCTGCAATTTAGTTTTTCAATTAACTTTTTAAAGTTGAAATAAAAAGTTCATCTTTATGCCTTTTCTCTAATTTCTTGCCTCCTTTTATCTCATGGGCTTATCATTGAAGCTCAGCATTGACTTGTCTATCTACCTTTTCTCCCTCATTCTGAAGAAGGCACCATCTCCCCTTGCTTTGACTGGGTGTAGGGCCTGGTTGGGCTTGGCCAAGTCAGAGCAAGACATCTTTTCCACTGTGTGGGCCAGCCCCAAAGAGCACACAGAGCACTTACCTTTCCTGGTCTTGGAAAGAGCCAGTGAAATCACTAAGTGGGGTTCTCCATGACAGACTTTGTTGCGATGGGTTTCACCTTCTCTGAGGATAACCCCTATTCCCACAATGTTAATTCACTTTACACGGTGATACAAAAATGTTTATTAATTTGTAATTAAGCCCAACTAGACTGTTCTGGCCTTTCCTAGTTGGGGGTAAGAAGAGGAAGGATATTAAAGTTTTAAGGAGAAAATTTCCTAGCCTCTTAATTTTTCTCTTTCTCCAACTTCCAAACAAAGCCCTTAGCATCAAGGGTGTTAGATGAAGGGGTTCTGGCAGGCAGCAGAGCAGAGCCCCTTGGACATTACAGGCACAGTGGGAATGTATTGATTCATGTGACGCATTTTGTGCCTCTGATGTACTAAGAACTAGGCTTGTATGGTGGGATCCAGCAGTGAACAGGATAGGGATGGGCCAGCTAGTGGCTCAGATCCAGGAGTGGGCACCCAGGCCCACCCAGGAAGAGATGAAGTGTGGGAGAACGAGGGGAGGGATTTGGACCCTTCCATTGGGGGATGGGCAGCATTGAGGGGGGAATCCCCAGAAGAGCTGCATGCACCCCACTTCTGTGGCTGACCTGGCATACCAGCTGTCTTTTGGAGGAGTGCCCCTCTCCTGCTGTCTAGTCTTTCTTCCAGCTAAGATTAGCCATCAAGGAGCTCTTACATTTCTTAATTTAGAAAATAGTACTACATAGTTATCTCTTAGAATCCTAGAGTTAGAAGCAAGCATTGACTTCTTCCAAGAAGGCAAAGTTTACAACTAGCTGGGCCCATCTTAGTGGTTTTCTTTCTGAGCATCTTTCCTGCCTTCCCTCCCTTCATCACTCAAATTGCCCAAGCCATCTGTTTTCCTTTCTTAAGATAGAATCACTCAAAGGTTAAGAGTCTGAACTTTAAAATTATTGTTTGGGTTCAGATCCCACCTCTGCAAACTTGAGGGATATCTCCTCACTCTGGAGGAGTAAGGAGTAACGATAAGATAGGTAAAAGAGCCTGGCACATAAGAGGGGAATAAAAAATGTGATCTAAAGAGGATCACAAGTTCAAGCCCAGCCTCAGCGACTTAGTAAGACCTTGTCTTAAAATAAAATAGTAGAAGAGGCCAGGATGTTGCTCAGTGGTTAAGTGCCTCTGGGTTCAATCTCCCGTATTTAAAACACACACGTACACACAAACACATACATACACACGACTGAGTGAGTTAGTTAATCCTGTACCCCCCCAGGTTCATGGGTTTTTGAGGTTCAGAACCTCCTATCCACCAGTGTGTCAGCTGATACTTTGACCTGGGATAGGTAATTCAGACTTCCAGAAATGGCTCCTCCAACTTGAGATCCAATATGAATCTCTTCCTAGGTTAGTGGGTCTCCTCTTAACCTAGCTCCAAGACTGCTTCAGAATGACCAGCAGCATCAGCTCTACCAGGAAGCTTGTTAGAAGTGCAGTCTCAGGCTCCCACCCCACCCACTGATGAGAAACTAGAGGCCCTGCCAGCCTCACACTTCACATCTCCAGCCAGTACATATTCCACAGAATAGAACTTCACTCACATGCAAACACTGTGACAGCTAGTTATGGGGCTTAGCTTTCTGGTGTCACCTCCAGGTGATGATAATGCAGGCTCACTTTTGAGAACACATCTAGGGATGGTCTAGGTGGGGTCACTAGACCCCAAATTCTTTTTTAACCAAATTTATGCCCTTTAGCATGCTAGGCAAGTGCTCTACTACTAAATTACACCCCCAGCCCTCGGGCCTCTTCTGAACTCACCCATCTGGAAGTCAGAGATGAGACCCTTTGTTGTCAGATATTGGCTGTCATGGTGGGGACCAACATTGAGAGCCTCTCATACAGGCAACTGACAATACACTCAAGAACCATTCCCTCCTTTGAGCAAAGATTCTTACCCTGGGCCTTCTCTTAAAATACACAATAACTCAATATTGGTATCTAACTGCTTCTGAACCTAAGGGGCATCCTGGATGGGGGAGGGGGGTCCTGTGTGTAAGGAGAACCTGGGGCTGGCCTGCCCCAGTTCTTTGGAGGAGTGGGGAGGAGAGAGTAATAGAGAGCTTGTAGGGAGGATAGGAGAGCTGAAGAGGAAGTGCTGCTAGTGAGCTTTGTGGGTGGGTTGGAGGAACCTGCCAGAGGCTGGGAAAACAGGCCAGCCTGGGAGCAGGTCTGAGACCTCTTGGGGGCAGGGAATACAAGAGTGCTATTGTGCTGGAGGAGCCCAGCAGGGGCCCAAGTCTGGCTAGAGTCAGTGAAGGATGTGTGTATGAGTGAGGTTCTGGGCAGGAGACCCCATGGTGTGGGGGTCAGAGGGCAGCTGGCTGGCTGACTTGGCCCCACCCCATTGGCCCTGGATCAGGCCTCCTGGGTATGATGGGAAGTGTCCAGCCAGAGGATTCTGCAAATCTCAGCCCTGTTAGCCTCATGGAGAAGCCAGCAATGATGGCCTCCTGTATAACTCCAGCAACTTAAGCTTCAGGAGGGGCAAAGGAAAGGGATTCAGCCTTCTGCTTTGCAAAGAAATTTCTTAGCTGTGTTGCTTCTTAGCCTAGGCATAGGCAAGGTAGAAGTATCTCATTGATTTTACAACCAGGAAACGGACCCATGGAGGTTGGTGACAGTCAGTGGGTAGAGCTGCAGTGACTGGGAAGGGGACTGCAGGTTGAAAATTTTGTCAAGTGGATTCTCTTGAGTGCGATCTTTGGGGAGAGATGGTTGTGAATGAAGGTGGCTCTTGGATTGCCAGCAGAAGTTCTAGTTCTGCCCTAATTAGGCCAATCCTAATCCAATCACATTTTGCCCTAATCCTATCACTGGTCTCTCCTCTCCCTCCTGGCTAGTGGCCATTGGAAGTCTACTTTTAGGACCAGCCAGTCTGGACAGTATCCCTGTCCCTGAAGTGCAGGCTGTAAGTGGATTTAGATGAGAAAATGGGGATGTGGCTTCATAGAACGTTAGTACTGAAAGTTCCCCAAGATCATCTGCTTCTGTAGTCTATAGTTAGGAAGGTTCAATCCTGTCCTGCCTGCAGAAAATATATCTTCTGCTCTTAAGTGACCTGGTTGGATAAGCAGGAATAGGTCAAGATTGCCCAAGCCTCACCTGCCATCCTATGGTTACAGTGAGCCTAGGGCCTGGCTGAAGGACTCCAGGCAGTATGGCTTGCTGAAGTGTCTTTAAAGGGCAAGTAGAGCCCTCTGTGGGTGAGTGAGGGACCCTGGAGGTGACATAAGGAAATGGGGTGGTGTGTTAGATGCAGTGCTTTGGTCAGGGACTCAGCAGGAATAGCTGGGGGGGGGAACGTGGCTGGTCCTCAATGGCAGTGTTCTTCAGATTTGTTGAATGGCAGCAACTCCACAATATACTTTACATCTCCACCCAGTACATATTCCACAGAATAGAACTTCATTCACATGCAATGCACATTTATGCTGGTCACCACCCTCTAGAAAGCTGGAAAACATTGCAGAGTC